ATATAGAGGTAAAAAAAGAAACTTTTCTATAAAACACATAGCATGTATATATTTTTTCTTCAATAGACAATGCCTTGTCTGGGCAGGACAATGGAAACTTTCTTTTTATTACAGATGTACTCCGGTGAAAATTTTAGAGAAAAAACCATGAGAAACATAAATGAAAGTTTAATCAAATAAAACTAATACAAAATAATTGAAATGACAGGCTGAGTCTTCCAAAGATTCGGTACAATTAATAATTCTTTATTTGTTGAGTCCTTGAACAATATATAATTTTTCCAAAGCTCTAGACTTAGTATAAAACAAGTCATTTTCATTAGTTCTTAGCAATTGGCATGAATGAAGATGTTGGCCCCAAATTGTAAACGCAAAGCTAAAATCTTTGGTAGATAACACAGTTAAAGCATCCATGAGAAATTATATTGGTTACTGTTCATTCAATTAGTCCTGTACATCTGTATCTCCTGATATAGTACAAAAGCGAAGAGAGAATAAAACACTCTTCCTGAGACCATTCTAAAATAGGTGAAAAATGCCATGAAGAGAAAAACAGCTAGGAAGTGCTACACTGGGTGTAATGGAAGACTCTAAACAGTGATGTCAAAGCATTAAAATGTTACATCAGAACATGTATGCCAAAGAGAACCAGAAAAAGTAATTTATGAACTCGAATCAAGGCTCCGCTGATTCTGCCTGCCGCATTCCAGAAAGTGATAAATAATGGAACAAAATCTTCCTTTCTACATCGTGCAAAAAGCAATAAAAACTGCAGTGAAATCAAAATTGTAAGCAATATATATTATTTCTAGAATGGACGGCCAAAGTAAACAACAATTGAACAGAAACACCCTAAGACTAACAACAATTGCAGTCTAGAATTGACATAGCTTGTGAATATTCCTTCAGCCTGTGAGGCATTAGTACAAAGCTTCAAACAGTTACCAAGTACTATAGACCGAGATATAAGCACAATGATGCACACAGAACACCCTTTGGTAGGTGAAAACAGCGAAATATAAAATTTCTGAGTAAAATTTTAGAAGAGGTAATCTTGACTAATCTCTCTCATATGACATTTGGATGTACCCTCTCCCCACCCTCCCCAAGTATGCATGGAATATAAGCAATAAGCAATGCTAGAGGTCAGGTTACCGACCAAATTTAAAAAATAGTTAGAAGTGCAGTTGCTGATTACTAGCACTGTTTGGATAACCAATGTATGTGATCAGAATTTCAGAGTATACAGTGTAAACATAATAAATAGATTGAAGACTTGAGAAGAAGGGAAATGTAGGAATAATAAAGTTTTATAAGTTCAAAATAGCTTCATGTCCATGTGTGAAATCATGTACATAGAAAGGAACGAAGAGCACCAAGAAGTAGCCTTCTGGCTTTCAGAAACAAAGGAACCAGGAGTAAAAAGAGACGAAAATAGTTCCATGATCATGGGAGAGCGGATGACCTAAATGGAAAGCATCATCAACACGGCAATACCAATTATTAGAATAAAAAGGAAGGAGGTGAAATTCCACCAATTAAGTAGTGTATGATAAAAGCTATAGAAATCTGAGAGAATGCAAATGCATACGTTTCTTTAAAACACCCAAACAAAGATCTAAAGCTTACCAATCAAGCAAAGGAGAATAACAGCCCAGATAGTTATTTGAACATGCCGATTGTATTGCATTTGGTATTGAGATCTTTGAAGCTGCCTTTGCAAAGCCCCGTACCACCCGTGGAGTTGCTTATCATAAGATTCGTCATAATTATCAAGGCAAGTCTTACTTTTTTCATAGTATGCATTGTTGCCCTGTATTTAGAAAAATAAACATGAAATATTAAGAATTAAGCAAAAGCATCGACATACACAAGCAAAACTCTGTTAAAAAACAGAAGCAGCTAAAGCACAAACCCCATTCAATCCAGCTGATGGTATTAGTGCATTATCCGTTTCTTCACAATGATTCACTGGTTTCAGCTTTCTATAACCATTCTTCGGCCACTTCAACTTAGAGATAGTTTCCACGGAACCAAAAAATCCAGAGAGACTTGCTACCTTGTGTACAGGATTTAGACTGGAAGAACCATTGGAGGAATTTGATTCTTGCACACCATCAGAAACAGTGATTTGCCAAGAACCAATGTCAGGATCAGCACTAGCTGCCCTGCGATGCCCAAGTGACTTTTCTTGTGCTGCATCAGACGAAACCCACCCAGATGAAACATGTAAATTGCTTGAACAATTAGGGATAGAATCTTTGTCACTTAACTGCACATTTTCACCATCTCTGCTGGCACACTTCACAGGAATTTTGCAAACAGCAGCCGATGTTCCCGAAAGAAATGATGCGAGTTCATCACGCTCTCCTTCATCCAGACGTGGCCAAGGCAGAGATGCCTTGCTACCTGAATGAACAGGTTCTAGTAACAAATGTTCAACATTGCTGATCTTGTCACGGATGGCATCAACAAAATCTCGGTGTCTATTTCTCGCATCCTCAGTTGAAACTTTGCTATAACTTGACCGAGTAGCCCGTTCAAATTCCTCTAACTGCATAAGCCATACAAGTGCAACCACATGCTTTGTTATGATGATACAAAATTTGAAACTCTTTACTAAGAGAAATTACCTGCCATTTAGCAGTGCCAATGGCAGTTTGTAGATCTCGGCGGGCTTCATCGCAGTTCCACAGGCTGGATGCATCCTTCATTGCGTGAATCCATGTTCTATAGATAGATTCCATCCTAGATAACACAATCATACCATGTCAATAACTAGAAAATTAGATCCAATAGATATGTGGTTCAGTTGGAAACACACGCTGAGGAAGACTTAAAGTTCAATTCCAGCAAAAACACATCCAGGGACAGGAATGACGAATTTTAACTATGTTGTCCGTCCCTGACCCACAATTAGTTTCAAAGCCAACCCAGGGGTCGAAGCTTATGAGGAAACCTTGATCTTGTAGCAGAGCCAAAGCTCCCCGTTATATTGGTTAATAATAATAACAAGAAAATGGCATCAATTCAGGCTTCTTCTGTTAAGATTGTGCACAAAAAATGAACTTAAAAACCTTAAAGTCATTCAACATTGACTTCAATGCCAAATAATAGAATAAAAAGGTAGGTATTATTGGGAGGTGCATTTATTTCCCCCCAAAATGGAATTACATGGCAAGATTATATTCTATTATGCCTACATTCCTCGGAAAAACAAAATTAACCATTGGATTAAACATAAAAATCAAATGGAAAACCTAATTGGAAGAACAACAGATACCGGTCAGAAGATTCCTGAACTTCTTCGGCAGCACTAAAGAAAGGATCTTTTTCCCATCGATCAAAACTGGACGCCATGAATATTGAATGATAATATAAATGTATGATAACTGGAATATGGAAAAGAAAATAGTGGGTAATCTGTGTTGGGGATAGAGGGAAAGGTGGTGAATTAATTGGAAGGGATGTTCTTGTTATTCTGTTCTCTCTCAGAATAATGCCAGGAATTGCAATTTGCAATGAAACCAAAAAGTAAGAAGAATAATTAGATTATATATATCCCTCTTCTTCCCTCACCCATTTTATTCATCAAATTATAAGGTCCCTCGTGTTTCACTTATTAATATTAATACCACCAGAATCAGCACTATAATGACACTTTACTTAATTTTTTTTTAATAAAACTATTCTTTTTATTATTATGATTATAAAAATTAAATAGGTATAACTTTTATAATTTTATTGTAAGTAATTTTTATTTATTTTGTAAGTCATGTTTTAATTAAAATATAATTAAGTTTAAAACATGCTAAATAAAAAATATTTAAATTTAAATTAACAATCACCTAAAAATAATATTGATAAGATAATTATTTTAATTTTAAAAAACTATTTAAAAGATAAATACAAAAATTAACACAAAAAAAGAATTTTTACATATTGGCATAAAATTATTAAAAACCTATTTAATACCTCTTTAATATTATTAGTATAATACTAATAGAAAATCTCTGCATCAAATTTTTAAAATAAAGATTAGATTGAGATATAAAGTAAAAACCTATTTAATATTTTTTTTTTACAAAGATGGAACGAACCAAACGATATGATCTATAATTTAACATATTTTTTCACTCTTCAAATGCTAAAACAATTATTTTTTCCCTTCCTCTCTTTGTCATTAGTTTATAGTTTATCTATTTAACTAAATATGAAATAATAGTCAATGAAATATTTGTTATATTTTATGATAATTTTTATTAAACATTTTAATTATTAATCAGAGACTTGACTATTAATCCAACAAAATATATATTTCTAAATAATTTATAACTTCTAAAAAATGTGCTTTTTTTAAATGAATATATGGAATTAATTATTTATATTTTGTAAAGGTATTTTTTTCAATAATGCATACCAAATTTTGTTTTATTTTATAAAAAGTAAAAGTGACTTCAAAATTTTAAAAAATAATATTGTAATAAAAATTAAACTCATTCATCTTATAAAACTATAAGCACACTTAAAAAATAATTCCTAATATGTTGTAAAACCAAAAACTTTCTTTTTCATAATTTTTTATCCAATATTAATGTAGAAAATAGAAAATAAATACGAAAATTGTTATAATAAAGAAGAAATGAGAAAGGTTTTAGAGTGGAAGGTGAGGGTTTGAGGTTGGAAGCAAGAAGATGAAGGAAGCAGAGGAGCAACTGTGCGAGGCGGCCAGAAAGGGTGACACGGAGAGAGTGAAGGCTCTCATAGACTCCGGCACCGATGTCACCCACTTTGACGGCGAGGGCCTCAACCCTCTTATGCACGCCGCAAAGCAAGGCCATGCACCCGTCCTCACTCTCCTCCTTTCTGCCGGCGCTCCCTGGAACGGCCTCTCTCCCTCCGGCCTCTCTTCCGGCGACTACGCCATGCAGGAAGGTCACAGCGAAGCCTTCGACCTTCTTCTAAACGCCGGTACACATTCCTCTTTTCCATTCCGAGTAGTACTATTTGCCTATTGGGATCTGATTTCGTATCAATTTGCCAGGGATTCAGGCCGAACTGATCCTGGGAACAATTGCGAGGAAGGAAAACAAGAGCGAAGATTCTGGTGTCGATTATTTGGAAGATAGAGTGAGTTTTAGTGAAGACAAGCTCATGGACTCTGAAAGCAAAGCTGTGATGATGGCGTGGGAGAAGCCGTTGATGGAGGCTCATGCCAAAGCTGTTTGTTCGGGAGGGGGCCACGTGCTCAATGTTGGGTTCGGAATGGGGCTCGTGGATTCGGCCATTCAGCAGTATGCACCTGCATCACACACCATCGTTGAGGCTCATCCGGAGGTGTATCAACGCATGCTTCGCTCCGGTTGGGGTCAGAAGGAAAATGTGAAGATAGTTTTTGGCCGATGGCAGGATGTTCTGTCTCAGCTTGAAACATATGATGGTAATTTCTAATTCTTATCTCCATGGACGTTGATACTTAATTTAGCACTGCAATATATTCAATTTTCTTTTGTTTAAAACAGACGAATATTTTTTTTTTAATTATTTTTGGAGATCCTATATTGGCTATGGAGTCTGCTAAATTTCTTTATTTGAGTCACTTTTTTGGATTTATTTAAGCTTAATATCTAATTTTAAGCTGATAGCTCCCCCAAACGGACCGTCCACCTGTTACCAAATTATCTGCTGAGTTCATTTTTTAGTGTATTGAAGATTTCATATTGTAATGATATGGCTACTAAGGGTGTGACTGATAGAGAGGAGAGAAATAGGTTGGATGTAAATCAGTTGGTGGAGTGGAAATATTTGATAAATAAGATGAAAGTTAAAGGTGTTTAATTGAAGAGAAATAGAGAAGAGATGAGGATACAGATAGAGAGATGAGTATAAATAGGAAACAGTATTTTTCTTTTTTTTTTTAATTATCTTTTGTTCTTTCTATCCTACCAGACACCCTATCTTAATTGATCTTTATCCATTCTCACAACCAAAGTTTATAGTATATAGTGAGGGAAATCTTTAATTTTTTAGCTTTTGGAGTTGAGTTAGACCCAGTTTCGAATCTGGGAGTTTTATTTATTTGTATCAAATGTATCCAATTCTTTGGGAATTTGATCTTTAACTGTTTTCTATATTGTCATGCAATCAATGCACTGACCTCTCACCTAGTAGAAAATTAGGCTTTATTATCATTGTTGTTGAATATGTGTATTATGCGTGATGAGTTTTATCTGGGTTATGTCTGATTTGGATCAACGGCATGAATTGTGCTCAGGAATATTTTTTGACACCTATGGGGAGTACTACGATGATTTGAGGGAATTCCACCAATATCTCCCAACACTATTGAAGCCTGGTGGTATCTACTCATTCTTCAATGGCCTCTGCGGCAGTAATGCGTTTTTCCATGTTGTTTACTGCCATTTGGTATCACTTGAGCTTGAGAATTTGGGGTATTCCACGCAATTAATTCCATTACCTGTTAAGGATTGTTTAGGAGAACAAGTTTGGGAAGGTGTGAAACAAAGATATTGGCAGCTAGATACGTACTACCTTCCTGTCTGCCAGTCTGTAGAAGACCCTGAATGATGTAGGAAATTTATGTTCTGCAGTTTAGAAGAACTGCACCCTCTGCAGTTATTGATTTCACCATTGATGCTAGTTTTTGTCCCTTTTATATATTTAAATCAAAGGAATGACTGAAATCTCATGCAGTGTTTTTTCAAAACTGTTGAGGATATTAAATGGAGTGGTGTATGGTTTGATTTTAATCACAGACAAAAGTGTTCTAACATTGTTGTTGCATTTGTAACTTAAAAAATGATACTGTAAGAATACGGTTGGAATCATATTGAAATCCTCAACTTCATATGTTAATTTCGTTACATGGTGTCGTTTAAATTCAGAAGTCTTTGGCCATAATCACCATGATTCAAGAAAGATCACCATAGTCAATAACGAAGGATTTCTTTTCAAACTATGGAATTCAGAAAAAACTATTGTTTTCAAGTCTAAGGCTACAGAGTGCTCATAACTAGATGAAGTTTAGGGTAAGTTGAGCTGTATCCCCCTTTTTTCTTTGTTAAGCTTTCTATATGAAGTTGAAGGTAACAATCTAATCAAGTCAGTGTGGTAATAGCTAGTGTAACCGTCTTCTCAATTCTTGACGCTAATAATAAGCTTATTCCTGGAACGACTTCTGAAAAAAAACAAAAAATTAGAAAAATTCACGAGAGAACTTTTATAAAATTAAACTAAATATAAATTAATTTTTCACTGGAAAAATATTTTGTTTTAATTATATTTCTCTTCAATAAATATTTTTAGAGAAATTTGTCCAAAGATATTTTAAGAGGATACAACTAAACTTCCGAGCAAATGCCTTAGCACTTCAGTTTTTGGTCTTCATATTTTTATTCCTTATTACATATCAGTACTACTAAATTACCTAAAGAAATCTAAATGTGCTGGTAAAGGGATTGGGATGCCTGCAGTGGATAAACCGTCTGATAGATAAACCTGTCATGTACGCGCCAACAAGACCAAAAAGCTTAGTAAATACGAATTACCATTCAGTGCCATTATTCATTAATTCAGACAAGCCATTAGTTCATTACCCTGTTTCTTTACTGTACAATCATTCTTTTATAATTTTCAGAGAACAGCAAGAGACACAAACATCATACCCCTTTGCTGGACCGAAAGCAAAACAAAACATAGATAAACGATTATTCTTGAACTTAGCCGCGTTTGCAACAGGTAATTCAGAGTTAGGGCCTTTAAAAATCAGTGTCAAGTCCAGCTGAAAGCAATGGGACTAGAAACCTTGTGTTTCCCATCAGACCATTCTAGATAAGCAAAACTGGTTGTCCCAGAAGGCTTTGAAGAAGACGTGAACGTAACTGTGTAGCTCTTCTTCTCATTTAGTTCACGGAAACTAAGTGTTTGTGGTTGAACCACAATCTTCACCGAGGGAGACTGCGTCACTGAAACTGTATACGTTGCTGGGGCACCCACGTTTGTTAAAGTCCTTGTGTACTGAACAGTGTTTGGTTTTTGAGAACCACCCTTTACTCCAAAAGCCGTGTTAAAAGGAACAGCAAAAGATGGGTAGTTGAGATCTTCCACTCTGTACTTCTTCCTTTTGCTGCAAGTAAAATCTCTCCTTGCAACAAGCTTTATCTGATAGGAACTGTATTTCAGGGCACAGAAGAAGCTCAAGTAGTCATCCACGGTGGCATCATAGACAAGGCCAGGATCAAAAGCAGCCACTGGATCTACATGTCCAGCCCCAAAATCAAACGGTGTAGCTGGTAGGCCATTGTCAACATCTTTTAAGGTTTGCCCATTTTTGTAGGTTCTGTAAGATGTGGTCATGAGGGCAGACCTTATAGCTGCAGGGCTCCATTCTGGGTGAGTGCCCTTAAGAAGGGCAGCTAACCCACTGACATGGGGGCAGGACATGGATGTGCCTGAGATGATGTTGAATTCCACATGCCTTGTGTCTTCAGTCATACCAGTTGGTCCAACTG